GATCCTATTCTCGACTACTGCTACTTATTCTTGGTTCATAAAAGAATAGTAATGGCCATTTTTGAATTAAATGGATCGAGACTTGAACTAGAAAAAACTGTTCGGCATCGAGATACAATCTCATTCAAATAATATTCGAACTTGGACTTTATGAACTGAATAGCTTACACTCGGAAGCTAAAATCGACCATTTATTAATAGAGATTAACTTACACTCGGAAGCTAAGGTCACGCAGTTATTGATGAAATATTGGGGTGTTACAAAGGCTGTCAGGCTTAGCGGGGAGAAAAGGCTCGATATATATTCTTTTTTTCTGATGATGGGACTTATGATCTCGTGAAATAATTAGCGTAGGCAAAATAAATCTAATGGGAGAAGGGATGTATTTATAGTGCTAGGTTTAGGGGACTTGGAAAAATAAAAGGATTCCTAATTTTTGTAGAAATGGGATTCTCTTTGCATATATGATCTAACTTGGTGACCAAGACAAGAACTCTCCTTCTCTCTTTCTTTTTATTTTTCTTTTCTCACGTTAGCCTCACTATGCGGCCGATTTTATGTGCTCCATGCCATCTTAAATTAATACTCATTCTCCTTTATTGCTTAGGACTTTAACTATATAATTAAAAATTATGATTTAAGGGATTTTATTTATGGAAAATTTAATAGATGGGGACGTCTAACTAATCTCCTTTTATTCTCTATTTATTAATAAAATTAAATAGACGAGGAAGTCCACTTAATCTCTATTTTATTGAATTTAAAATGTCGAGCTAAATAAAATAAAATGCTTGAAACTAATTATGCTCTTTTGTGGCGCTACAGACTTTGATGCTTAAATCAGTATAAAAAAATGAGGAAAGTGATCTGCAGATACAACAACAACAAAATATGGAATGTTTATAGAGTGTAAAAATTAGGGTTTGGTCATACATTATATCCTTTTATATGGGGAAATACATGCCGAGAGTGCCCCGGTCAGCCTGCCTAGTTGCCCGATTTATCCATATCCTAATCACCTCTTAGTCACGTCTGAGTCAGCTTAAGATTCTTTCTTATCCTATAAAAATTCATCCTTATCCATTAAGCCTACTGAATATTGAAGTGAGGCCACTCAACATGCACCTCGAGCTGGGAGGCGTAGGAAGTCGACCTTGAGAGTAAATAGGTCGACTGAGAACTAATAAAGATGGGCAGTGTCACCGCCTCAAAAGATCTTGCTTCCTATCCCTAGGTCGTCCTTAAGTCCAAGATGCAAGGAGGTCGACCTCGAACTGCGATGCGAGTGAGATTGACCTCGAGGTATAAAGGTCGACTGTAAACCGTCATAGTGATGCATGAGGTCAACCTCGAGTTGCGAGATGTGTGTGTTAGAGTAGAATACCCGGCGTCCCAATCTGATTGGATCTTTTTCTACTTGTAAAGACAATTTATTGGAATTTATATTATTTTGAGGCATTTCTTTATCTTATGTCTTTGCATTTATCTCATATTTGCACATATGATAAAGTCCTTAGATCATCATTAGCTATGAGGATTGCGCATTCGATTGCAATCATGGAACATGTCTTTAAAGTTGTGATCTTAAATGAGTTCCAAGTCGATGGGTATTTCAAGACAGGACATTGAATAACCCGGTAAGACTTGTGCATATGATGCATGCTCGTCGGACGAGGATGTTGCATTCATCAACATTAGCGTGTGGACTCAAATGCATATATGCGGGTGCTTGTTGGGGAACAAGTTCACTGAACATGGCCCGATGAAAATTCTTAGTTGGAAGTTTCTAACTGTCGAATAAGAATTTTCATGTTGCAATAGTACATGATTGATCCTCTGACTTGAGGCACGATAGTAATCTTGTGCATGTTGTGCTTTACTTTGATTTATCTTTTGATTGCTGGACATCATAAAAGGGATATTTTGGGTACTGTATCAATGTGTATGGAGGTTTGTCTGTGGCCAACATAGAATTCGACACTTATGTGGATAAGTGAATTTCCTATGTTTTTCATAGTTTGTGATTCAAAGACCTTGGCCAAGGCAGGATGAATGTGGATTCATAAAGGAATCAGTAAACTTGAAATGGAATCATAGTTATTAAATCAATTGGGTTTCGACTTATTAATCCATGCCCAAGATTTAATCGGGAAATTAGTTGTCGAAAGGAATTTACATGTATGCACTTGCAATTGAAAAGGTTTACTCGCTATTTCACTTAACACTAGATAAAAATCATGCTACTTGCTAGGTGTTACCATGATTTGTGGGTTCTTGAAATTAAGGAGTTAATTTCAAGAATATAAATTAATTAGATTAATTTAAATTACAAACGAGTTGTAAACCCACTACTAGTGTTAATCGTGAACCTAAAATGGTCACACAATATTTTGGATGATGACATTTTAAAATTGATATTTCCAATAGTTGGATTAATTGACAAGACTTAATTAAATAATTTGATTATTTAATTAAATCTGATTTTGATTAGATGTCAATTAAAGAAATAGTATAAGTTAATCAATTGGATTGATTAACTGGGCTTTGGATATTAATTAAGTAATTATTAGAATTACTAAATTAATAGTTGGATTTTAAAGTTGGACTTTTTTCAAATCCAAATATTAATGTAATTAATTAATTTAAAGCCCACATAAGAGAGGACATGATGGGAGATAAGTTTTTGACCAATTAGTTTGAAAGTTGTTTCATAAATTATGGTCATTATTTTAATTAATATTTAATTAGATTAAAGATTGAGTAATTAAAAAAAAAAAAGGAAAGGGGTTAGTGGGGACGGCTAGAACTAGCCGCCCCACCCATGTTCACTATGTATATGGATAACTCATTAGATGAGTTTCACATATAATAGAACACTCCCATTATACAATGAGATTTAACATGAGAAAGGTTGTGTGAGATTACTCTCTCGGCAATTCAGAAAATAAAAAATAAAAAAAAAAATAAAAATAAAAAAATAAAAAAATAAAGAAATAAATAAAATAAAATAATCTCCTCTCTTAAATTGATTCTTCATACCAATTAATTTACAGGATAAATTCTACTAGCGAAGAAGGTTATCTCGGTGTTGGAATCCAAAGGATGGACTTGCTTAGAGGGGAGACACATAGATCCCTACGGCGAGACGAGAAGACGGTGATAGCCACATACCCGGGAACCAGGGGCGGAGCCAGAATTTAAAATTTACCCGGACTAAAATTATACCATATATTAAATTAAAAAAAAATTGATACAAAATATTGTTTTCTAAGTATTTCTGCGACATTTTTTTTTTTAAATAATTTTTTAACTAAAATATATTTTTAGTTTAAATTTAGGCATAGACTTAAAAAAATTAATTGACACTTCATTATAACAAAAAACAAATAAAAATTTAAAAGAAAGAAAAGAAACTGACTGAGAACTAATTCAACTTTTTGAACAATTGTTTCTCAAATTCCGAATAGCTATTTAATTTTGGCAAAATAAAATCCCTTAAAATTGATATTTATGAGAGAGTATTTTAATTTAAAATTGTTCGATAATTTTATTTGATGTGATTATAGCATATACTTTAATTAGTTAGACTAAAATTATAATTTTTTTTTTCAATTTCAATCGTGTATATATCTCTCTTATATCTTATATGGGAAAGTGAGGCCATCTCGCTGCTCGACACGTGTCCGTTTTCATCTACTTTGCTGCTCGACACATGTCCCATTTACTACAATCATTTTATTTACGTTTTTGCCATTTTTTTATTAACTAAGTTACCCTTGTACATGAATCAATCAACTTGATTTGAGGCGGTGGAGATTTGTACTGATTGAAAGCCCACTTGATTTGTACATGATAGCTACTTTTCCCATTTTTCCGCACATGCGACCGGCATAGAAAGATTGAAGAAAAAAATTGTTCATACTTCTCTGGAACCTTGCACTCTCACCCCGTCGAGTTCTCCTCTCCCCTCAGATTTCATTTCCTCTCACCGATTTTTTGTCAAACTCGCCGGCAAAGCAGCTTCGAGATGGAGAACACAATCTTCTCTCTCACACGCAAATCTCTTCCACGCAAAATAGACAGAGCATCACGATTACACAAGCTCCCGGGTTCGACGATCGCGTGGCGGATAGAACCAGAGCGGCGAAATAGCTACATGGGTCGTTTGGAAAAAAATAAGTTAAAGGCGATTGAGATTATTAAATCAACGATCGAGGATGGTGTGTAGGCAGGACCGGTCTCATCTGGCCCTATCCGGCAATGAAGATCCCCGATTTGTGGGATGCAATCAGCGGTGTTAGTGTCACTTACAACATCGACGGCGGCGTCCTCGGCGTGGACTACCGGACCAGCACCGGTGAGGTTTGAATTTTTTCATATATTTTCTTAGTTCTATGTTTGATTTCTTGGGATTACGAGCTTTGAAGCATACCCAATGAGAACCTTCTCTTTTGTTATAAATTGCTGAAGGCTTAGATTTAGGGTTTTCGCAAAACCTCTGCTTGTTTTGATATTTTGTGTGAACAAGTTTAACATTAGATCGTATTCTTGGCGTGGAAATTGGGGGACGCCCACTAATGAGATTATTCCGTAAATATTGAAACTTCTCTCTTGTGTATGTTGCTTGTTGCATTGTTTGTATAATGCTTGTTAATCTGTTTTCTTTTCACCAAATTTTGGATTTTAGGGAAACTGAGGAACCTACAAATGAAGTGAAGATTGTCGAAACTGAAAAGGAACCGGGGAAAGAAGATGCTGGTGATGCTAACAAGGATGCTCCTGCTAATGAACAGGAAGAAGCCGAGCCCGAGGAGAAGGTATAATAGTAGTAAACATAGCAAATAGCAATGCTCTTTTTTGTAACTTTTCTAATTGTTTCTCGGCGTCCTGTTCAGTGTATTTTACAGATGAAGCCTTAATCATATCTGTGTGTAAATTCGCAGGAGATGACATTGGAGGAGTATGAGAAGGTACTTGAAGAGAAAAGAAAGGCTTTAGTTGCTCTGAAAGTTGAGGAAAGAAAGGTCCACTTGGACAACGAGCTTGAATCAATGCAACTTCTATCCAACAAGAAGAACGATGATAAAGTGTTTATTAAATTGGTGAGTAAAACTGGTCAATTACTCAATGCCGATAGTATATCATAGATATGTAGCTCGTTAATGTGTATATTGTGCTGAAATTGTGAATAACTGTACAGGGATCTGATAAGGATAAGTGCAAAGAGGCAGCTGAGAAGGCAAAAAAGGTAATCTTTGTCCTTAAAGTCTAAAAGCATTATGCTTATATCATAACAATAACTGAAATTGGCCTACATGACCTTTGGAATAATTCAACAAGCAAAGCATTATTCGTTAGTTGTAATTTTTTAACATGTAATTTTCATTAATTCACGAGCTGTTGGGCGTATTTGCATTTCTAATGGTGGTTGGGTATCATAGCTTCGACAAATGAATATGAGTGTTGACGACTGGAGGGGATAACATAGAGAAAATTTTAGAGAATTCCTTTTTAACCAAAAGAATTATGTTA